CTTTGAGAGAGCTTAAGAGAGATCGAGATTCGAGAGAGATTTAAGCGAGATTAAGAGAGATTTGAGAGAGATTAAGAGAAATTGAGAGAGATTAAGAGAAATTGAGAGAGAATGAGAGTTTTGGGGTGAGGAAAATGGTTGGGGGGAGGGGGGTAATTATAGGAAAATTTTTGGGTTGAAAAAAAAAAAATTTTTCCCCAAAAATTCGAGTCCAACGGCTACAAAATTTTCGGGCAGGTCGGGCAAAATTCGGGCAACGGATAAAAATCCGACCGTTTGGTTCAAAAATTCGGGCAAAATTCGGGTTCGGGTTCGGGCAAAAGACCGTTTTTTTTTTTTTCAAAATTCGGGCATTTCGGGCTAACGGTAAAAAAAAATTGGGCATTTTTCGGGCACGGGTCGAAATTCGGGCAACGGTCACCAAAATTCGGGCAACGGTCACAAAAAATTCGGGTAATTCGGCAAAAATTCGGGCAGTTCAGACAGCTTCAGGTATTTGCCGGAAAATTCAAAAAAAATCCGGCGAACGATGGGAGAAGGCTTCTCCACGGCGGTGGGCTGTCGGGGCTTACCATTTTCGGGCTACCCGAGCCCGTGCCCAAAGAAAAATATTTTCGGGCGGCGAGAGGGGCCTGCTCGCCGTGCCCGAAAATTTTCGGGCATCGGGCATGCCCGCCACCCGAAAGTCCAACACTCATGTTACTAGAAGAACGCATGGCAAAAAATAAAAATGATTATTTCACTTATTTATTTGCCATGTTGCTTCCAGAACTTACCAAACAGAAAAGTAAAAAAGATTAAGAAACCAAAAAAAAAAAAAAAAAGTGCGCGTAAAATTGTTTTGAGAACAGGTTGTAATTCTCTTTTTAAAAATAAAATTACGCGTGATTCTGTGAGTTATTGCTCTTGAGAAAGCGTACATCGTGATTGCCGCAATCAATGGTGACCATTGACAAACAAGGGAAAAAAACCAGAATAAAAAATATAAAAAGAAGCAAAAAGATTTTTTCATTCTTCTTCAGAATTTTTTTTTTTAATTTTTCGTCAGAATTTCTTCAATTCTTTTAATGGAAAAAAAAGAAAGTTACGTTCCGATTATATGTGGTCCTCACACATTTTTTGTATAAATAAAGCACTCGTGACTCAACGGTGAGCCTACGCAACCAAACAGTACTGTGAGCACTCAATCAAGCAGTTGACAGTCTCAGATTAAAAGCAAAGGCTGAAAAACAACAAATCTCTCACTCTATAATTACTCATAGGATTCATTTTGAAGCAATTGTATCATTTTTATGATACAAATACAAATACAAATTGTAAGTATCAAATTTATAATGGAGAACTGGTTGGGACTTCTGAGAATTCACATAAAAAGGGGAGTAAACCTCGCTATCAGAGACACAAGAAGCAGCGATCCCTATGTTCTTCTCAAGCTGGGCAGGCAGGTACCTAATTTCATTTTTCTTTTTCTCTCAATTGTTTCATCGTTTTTTGAATTCTGGGTTTCATGGCTTTTTTTATTTTTTTATTTTTAAGACCACATTTATTCATTGATTTGTGATTGCCATGTTTCTTTTTTTTTTCTTTTTCTTTTTTTGTTTTTAAACAATATGATGAATGCAACTTTTGGTTTTGAATATAAGATGTTCTGGAGAAGTCCTTAGTGAGCTATGATTATGGTCTTATTATGCTTTTTGGTAGAGTTCATAACAGCCAGAGAAATGGAATGTTTGCTTCTTCTTTTTTTTTTTTTTTTTTTTTTTTTTTTTTTTTTTTTTTTTTTTGGAGGAAAAAAAAAAATAATTAAAACCAAAAAATTGGTAGATGATATAACACATTAATTAAGGCCAAAAAGTTTTCCAATAAAGAAAATATGAAGCAAAAACGTAGCTTGTGATTTATTATCATGAGAAATTTGGATCTAATTCCGAAAAATTACAGGATGGGGTTCTTAGGCTTTACAATTTAAGTGCATTGAACTAAAGTTGTAACAAGAAATCCAAGCACTTTAATAAGAATTATATATATATATATATATATATTTCTCATGTTACTGAGGTTTGCTAAAACTGTGCCCTGCAGAAGTTGAAGACTCGTGTGGTCAAGAAAAATTTGAATCCAGAGTGGAATGAACTTCTAACTCTATCAGTTTCAGACCCAAATACTCCAATCAAGCTTGTAAGATTTATTTCATTTTTCCAGTTATCTGACCGAATTCAGATTTGTTGTCCTAAATTCCTTGGTCCATTGGTTGTTCATCTAAATTTAAGAATTTGACCCTATAATAAATGGTGCATGCTTAAAATACTTAAAACAATTAACCAGTTGTTAAAATAACATTTGGAGGACAGCCAATGAAACAGGAAAAACGAGACTATGATCAATTAGTCATTTCTTTATAGATAAGCCAAACATACCATTAATTCAATATGATCGTTTTCGCAGTTTGTATATGACAAGGACACATTCAGTTTCGACGACAAAATGGGAGACGCGGAGTTTGAGATTGGCCCGTTTCTGAATGCCTTAAAGATGCGTTTGCAGGGCCTCCCAGATGGAACCATAATCTCAAAAGCACAACCCACTAGAAAGAACTGCCTTGCTGAAGAGAGCAGAATTGTATTCTCTAATGGAAAACTTGTTCAAGACTTGGTTCTGAGATTGAGAAATGTGGAGTGTGGTGAAGTTGAGCTTCAATTGCAGTGGATTGATGTTCCCACTTCAAAGGGCTTGTAGACATTAAAATAAATATATAATATTTAAGTTCCTTCAGTTTCCCCATAGAACATTACAATTTATAGCATAAAAATATAGTCATGTGTATGTCTTTTGAAGGATCCTGCCATGTCATTTGGTATTCTGGATCAGAAAGAAGATATTTCTTTCTTCTTTATCCACAAAGAACATCAATAAAATAAAAGACCCAACAATCGCGTACTTTTAGATTTTGTTTGTACATTGGATTTTGTGGCGTAGAATCATTCCAAACTTCACAGCAGGACAACCTGTCTGTAGGTTCTTTCAGATTGAGAAAGCGGCGGAAAGTAGGTAAAGCATTGAAAAAAACGGTGCTTAGATCAGACACAAACTTTTATAAACCATTTACTAAATACAACAGTTAAATTCATTAGAGATCTCCATATTTTTTCTTCTTTCTACAGTTGATTTTATATTGAAAATTGTATCAATTTAAAAGCTTAAAACTTTTTTGGTGTCTTAAATATAATTCCCCCAGTTACATTTTTAATTGAATATAACTACATTTGAGACATTAAAAGAATTTAAGGTTTAAGTTGGCACAATTTCACTACATGGATTAATTATAGAGAAAGTTGAAAGACCTCTTATGATTTTAACTGAAAACAATGGATTAATTAGGGGAAGCAAATTATGCCTACCAAAGCCGTTACTCTGAAGACATGTTGTAGTACTAATATTATAAGGTAAAGTGTGTTTTTAACCCTTGGATACGTTGAAAATCACATTGAAAAACATATAAAAATTGATATATACATCCGACGATCTAAAAATTCTTATATTAAAATATTCATTAAAAAAGGACTTTTCGTCCCTTTTATGACAACACTTTAATTTTTTTTTTCCCTTGCTTAAACACAAAATTCTGAGACCATAGGATGCGCTAAACCACGCTTTTTTTTTTTTTTTGATAATTGCTTTATTTTGTCTTGATCAAGCATTAATGATATTGAGCTGTCTTGTTTGGCTATACCAACACGGCGGCTCAACGTTACTTGTTTTGGGTTTATTGCAAATAGATTGATAATTCCAACTTTTCAGAAATTATAATTGTCCATTTAGGATGATATTTCAAATGCTTGCAATATGCTTATCTAAGAAACAATATATCTTAATTAGTATGTTCCTTAAAATTGCAATATGCTTCTCTAAGAAACAATATCTTAATTAGTATGTTCCATGAAAATAAAATAAAAAAAATGACAAAAGGATCCATTAAGTTACACCTTTAATTGGCAATGTTTTCCTAAGAAGTACCAAAAAAAAAAAAAAAAAAGAGAATGATAAATATCCTTAGCCAAAGACCTCAAAACCTATTCGTAAGAACTTTCTAATGATCCCGCTTTAAGTGCAAGTGGAGTTCGGTAGCTTTCCATTTCTGTAAAACAAAATTGACAGCCACTGAAGCGAACATGTCGGAAGGCACTGCCAGTGGACTCTTCATAGAGAATTCAATTCTGAATTTTTGTTTCACAAATGAAACTCAAAATTCTAAACAACGAGGCCATAAAGGGGGAACTTGTACAAGAATTTGAAACTTTGAAACTTGCATGAGAGTTTTAGTAAAAATATTATAAACTTCATTATAACATTTTTATTATTAATTAGACATTCTAAAAATAAAAATAAAGGCCCGTAATTCTCAACATTTGAATATATATCAAGAAACACAAAGCAATTTATCCATGTTTACGAGCTAAGCTAAAATTATTGTTTCTATTTTCATGTCAATTCGTAAATTTATCTTTGATTTGCTCAAGTTCAAATTTTAAGTTCTTACGTTATGATTGACTTATGCTTTGCTTCCTTTAAGTTTCTGACCTCCAGTTTTGTCCAGTACAGGACCTATTCAATTCATAGAATGATTTGGAGCCCGTTTAGTTAGAAGATTCGTTCTCTGATTTAAATCATGATTCATAATTCATTACAGTATTTTTTCTCATAAAAAACGCACGTAAATAAAAAATAATTCTAATCTCGTCATTTTAATTTTTGTTTTGAAATTCCCACTCGGAGTAGTCTTCCAAGGTACACTCCAGAAAATAAGTAAGAGAGAGAATCAAATTTTCAGTCACAAGTACATCTTGACAAGGATTTGTTGTCAAATATTGATAGATGTTGACTTACAATTAGTATTGGGATGTACATCACTCTTCTCCGCCAAATATGCCATCTTTGGTGTTTCGGTATTCGGCGGCGGAGAGTGATTGTTGTAGGGCAAAGATTGCAAAATCTTTGGTTCTGGGGCCAATTTAACAAAATCTTTGCAAAATCTTTATAGCAAGATACAGAAAAATTAGGCGTAGCAGGTCTTCTTGATTGCGAAAATTGATCAGGTCCCACAAGCAGTCAACAGATGGGCAGGAATTCTAAAGCACCAACACTTTCTAACACTTTTTTTACCAATCCTAAAATCTGTGTATGCCACTGCTGCCATTTTTATGGGGATTCTGTTGTTTCTTCACAACTGAATGTGTGTTAAACACAAAAGTTGATAAGCCGACAAAAAAGTATTTCGTACAAAACAAAAGGAAAAGAATATATCATAAAAATAGACAAAAAAATGTTGAAACAGCCACAATTACAACATTTTTCGTGGAATAAACACATCTGAAATCAGTCTGACTTCTTAAATTTACTGTACAGAAGTATGCATATTATGTATAGCGTCCTTAATTATAGACAATTTTCCCATGTGATATGTTTTGATATCTTTCTTCTTTGAAGCATGCATATTTCGCGTCCTGAACTTCTAGCAAAATTTTTCCCAATTTTGACACCCAAATTATAAGCAAAAGTTGTTTAAGACATTTGATTGGCCGGCAATGAGCTCTTTAGACTGTCATAAACGGGTAATATAGAGATTAAATATGCAAGTGTTTATAGCTATAACTGAATCCACAATGGTCTGCTGCTACTGCTACCGTGGCATCATGAAATGAAAGCATGTAAACCCTGAGCCCTCTAAACTATGCAGTAATGTATGGCATGTAAACCAAGACGTGTAAAATCAAAACTGATAATAAGGTGCTCAAAGATAATGCATCTACTGATACCATGAGAAAATGCTGAAATAAAAACAGTTCATAGGGTACAGGTTTTTAGATATCTTAACCTCAAGAAGAGGTTTCATCAGATGCATCAGAATCACTGGCACTGGCGCCAACATTTGTACCAGCCTCTGGAATGTCAGGTTTTGCAACGGGCACTGGCGCAGGTTTCTTATTTGCATTGCGGGCATTTCCATCTCCATCTTTCTCTTGTTCAGTTGGTTCAACATGTAAGCACCATCGTTAAGGAAAAATCTCTACATTCGACAACAATAATTGCATCTATTTACAAAAATCTCTATGCATGTTATCAAAGTAATTTCCATTCAAACTTTTCATGTGAGGTGATGTATCAGATGCCTTAACATTATTGGCTCAGGAACTTAATGATTATCAAACTTATGAACAGCAGGACAGATAATTCTACATACATAAGCCATATACACTGAATATAAGGATATCGATTGTTTCGGCAGTACCACCAGCTGTGATAGTAAGCAAATCTTCTTCAACTCGTCGCACAAGCTCAGGCTGCAAAATGGAGGAACTTTAAACAATTAGGAAAAAAAACAGAGAGAGACCCTGAAGAAGAAAATTACAGCCATATCCAATACAGATTATTAGTGAGCAAATCCATAATTCCGTCGACCATAAAGCTCCAACACCAAAGTGATGGGCAATTGTTAAAGCCTAGCACACAATTAAAAACAAATACAAAAAGGTAAAAAGGCATCATACATTTAGATCTGGCTCCCTACGAAATCGTCGCTTTCTAGCATCCCTCATTGGAGGAGTGAGACCATGCTTGTACTCTACTGCATCTGGAGCAGCATCATCAGGTTCTCGAACCATAATCATCTGTCAAAAGCCCAATAGTTCACATAACTGCCTTAAAAAGAAACAATCAGATCTGAAACTAATCTGGTGTGTGTGTGTGTGTGTGTGTGTGTTATAAGAAACACCCTTTACTGATACTGAAAACAGTAGGATGGACCCTCAAGAATTAAAAAAACAACAGCAAGAAAAAACTAAAAAGTCAAAAACCATCAAGACTCATAGCACCCAATCACCCCATTAGGTGTTAATGGGACTAATTCAACAAGAATAATATCTAGCTTTATACCTGACCGATATCTGCTGACTTGATTAGCACGCTATCATCGTAAGTCTTGTAGGATTCCACGACAGCAGGAAGATCCAATAGAGACACAGGAAAACTGTCGTTTCCAATAACAAAAGTGCCAGTTCTTCCATCCTCTGCAAACTAACTCAAGTTTACAAGCAGGACCGTTTGGCAAAAAAAAAAAAGAAAAAGAAAAGACTTCAACATTATAGATGGATGTTATTGTTAAATATTATTCTGACGGATGTGCATTGGCCCAATGTACCAAAAGCTGTCATTGATTTTACAAGCAATAAAAATAAAAAAGAAAAAGGTTGTGTATGCATTCTTCCAACAAGATAGATAGGACTCTATAGTATCAAAGCATAAAACGTCACCATTTGCATTTGGATTGGAGTTCTTAAAAAGAAAGCCTTGTCCTCTTTAAATGGATAAAAAGATGGGAACCAACTAAAATTATATAATTCTAGAAAACAAGAAGAAGAAATTATTAAATTTTCACTTACATCATCTATAGTAGCACAATTGAGGGAAAAAAAATTGATGGGAAGCAAAAGTGAAGACCAAAAAAATCCTATAGCATGTAAGAGACTCTTAAGGCCACTTGGCAATATCAAAACTGTACAATTGCATGTACATATAGCAACAGGGGAAGCAAGCATTAGTAAATCTTCACTATTTCAAATGGAAATTTTTATCCCAAAAGTTAAGAAATTTACGACAGACAAAGCGGTCATATGTATGAAAATTGAAAACACCAAGATTTTGCTCAAATGCTAATAAAGAAAATAGCTTTTATACACCTATGAGTTCTGAAAAGTTTTCAAGACTAGTATTTTTCTAATGTTATCTGGAAACATATGAATGTAATCTTTTTGCAAATAGCAGGCACTCAAACGAAAACAAGTCGAACGAGTATTCATGTAATTAAAAAAAAAAAAAAAAAACCTTAGCAATTGCGAAACAACTCAAGAATACAGAAAATCCCCAAAACTAAAACCAAAAAATCATTCTTTATAATAAGCATTTCCCAAGAATTCCACCGACGAAGAAGAATAAATGATTAAAACGGATTGAATGATACCGGAAAAGGAGATGTCGAAGGACTTGTCGTCAGAAGAAGAAGAAGGGTTTTCGTTGAGAAGACGCTCGATTCGCTCAGCCACGGACGGTGGAACCCTAAGTATGAATTGTTCGTCCATATCTCTGTCTCACGAAAATAAGTAATAATAAAAAAATAATTTGACTGAATCTCTCAAATTCGTTTCAGACAAGAATTCAAGAGGACATCAAGTCATAATCCGATGTTTTTTTGTTTTGTGTGATGTAAATGTAAAGTGGGACAGAGTTAATGAACGAGAGGGGGAGAGAGAAGGGAAGAAAAACTGTTCTTCTTTCTCTCTCTCTCTCTCTTTTTTCGTTGAAGGAAAGGCTTTTCTTCCTCTGACTAGCGCCAATTGGGCAATTTTCACAATCCCACGTGATTATACGAGGTGTGGAGCCCACATCATTTATTTTGTATGTTTATTATTACAACACGGTACACCAGATTGAGATGAGTTACGACCATTTTGCATGTCCACACCTGATTGCAACCCCAGAAAGGAAAAGATAGAAAACTCTTAAGGTGTGTTTGGTTGCTTTGACGGAATGATAATAAAAATGGTAATGAAAATGATAATAAAATGGAATTAGAATGTGTTAGAATCACTATTCTTTTGTTTGATTGGAGTTATGAAATCAATATCTAAATGAAGATTATATTGTTTGATTGACAACGGAATGGAATGAAAATAAACTGTAGTTTTACAAAAATACCCTTTTAATAATCTTAAATAATTTAATATTTTAATTAATTAAAATAGTAAAAAAATAATTTAATTATTAAAAAAAAAACTTTTTATTTGAAGGATAATAATTTAAAAACTATATTTCAATTGTAAAAAAAATAATATTTGATATTTTTATGTAATAATAAATTATCACAAGCTCAAATATGATAACTTTTGACATCTATCATGATATGATATGTTCCCTGAAAAATTTAATTTTGGCCCCTGTCAATAATAAAAATGACAATATATCATTCAACTACATATATAATCCCAAAATATAGTCATATGCCAAGTGAAGCAAGTTTCTAGTTAATACAATTTAACAAAGTGAAGAATAGTTGTTTTCAGGATATTGAATATGAAGAAGAAAGCCTTTTAACCTATGTAAGTGCAAATACGATTCCTTTATATTTTTCTTATATATACGCTACAATCTATGGGGATATAATTACAGCATATCGTGTACATATAGTGTAATACCCTCCATCTTAACTAGAGGACACCACAATAAGACTTGTCTAGTCAAGTTGGTGGACATTACTTCATTCTATTGATTAAAGAAGAGTTTGAAAGAAAACAAATATTTACATATTATAGCATTAGTAGATACATAGAAGTACTATTTACAACAATTTCAATCAAAAAGATTTTTCTTCACGTTCAGTTTCAAAACATTAGTACTTCATATCATCAAGAGCCCAACAAAAACATTCTCTCAAAATATCAAAAGTTTATCAAAAGCAACAAAATATCAAAATATTAAAAGCAACATATGAACTATCCGACAGCAACAAGCAACTCGAGCAACTCCTACTCTTCACCCTCAGCATTTTCTACATCCTAAATAAGCAATTGCCTAGTAAGTAGCACCCTTAACAGTCTATACCCATTTCAGTCTAAAAACATTTCTAGTCAAAACAGTCCTGGGCCCCGTCAAGTATAAAACAGGCTTAGTACATAAAACAATCACCATCATACAAGTCATTCAATCCATTTAGCATAGAAAATAATTTCAAACACATACTATTGTGTCTTGTGAAGTTTTTTTTTATTATTATGGTTCTGTAAATTATTTTTGTATGCATTTTCAGGGTACACTACCAAATGGACAATATATTGCAGTGAAAAGGCTCTCCAAGACTTCTGATCAGGGTGACGAAGAGTTCAAGAATGAAGTTGTGTTAGTTGCTAGGCTTCAACACCGGAATTTAGTCAGACTCCTAGGCTTCTGCTTGGATGAGAATGAAAGACTTCTCGTATATGAATACGTGCCCAATTCAAGTCTTGATAGATTCATATTTGGTATACAACTAAGAAATACTAAACTTAAATTTGGGCGCACTAATTTATTGATTAGTACTGACAAGAATATATATACTTGTATGAACTCGCAGATCCAACCAAGCGTGCAGAGTTAAATTGGGATCAACGTTTCAAAATTGTCCATGGCATTGTTCGTGGCCTACTATATCTTCACGAAGATTCTCGTTTAAGAATTATACACCGCGACCTCAAAGCTAGTAATATTTTGTTAGACGAAGAAATGAACCCCAAGATTTCAGACTTTGGAATGGCAAGATTGTTTGTGATTGATCAAACTCAAGGCAATACAAGTCGAATTGTGGGGACCTAGTAAGTACCCTTTTCAAACCAGGGGCTGCATTTTATACGACAAATGTTAGTTTGTACTAAGACATCAATATACAAGTCCTTGATATTTGACCATAAGCAAAAAGCAACTAGTGCAACGAAGAATAATGACATTTTTCTTGCTCGTTAATTCATTAATTTTTGGTGTTACAGTGGATACATGGCACCAGAGTATGCGCTTCACGGAATCTTTTCGGTCAAGTCTGATATTTTTAGCTTTGGAGTGTTACTTTTGGAGCTGGTGAGTGGACAAAAGAATAGTTGTTTTCGGGATATTGAAGATAAAGAAGAAAGCCTTTTAACCTATGTAAGTGCAAATACGATTCCTTTATATTTTTCTTATATATACGCTACAATGTATGGGGGTATAATTACAGCATATCGTGTACATATAGTGTAACACACTCCATCTCAACTAGAGGACACCACAATAAGGCTTTGTCTAGTCAAACTGGTGGACATTACTTCATTCTATTGATTAAAGAAGAGTTTGAAAGAAAACAAATATTTACATATTATAGCATTAGTAGATACATAGAAGTACTATTTACAACAATTTCAATCAAAAACCTCGTGCCTCAAGGAATTTCACCACTATATTTTGGGTCCGCTGGTCCCTCCTGCATCCCTTGCCTACCCAAATACTAAACCATATTTTACACTTCATTTTAAATTGAAACATAGGGGTACAATAGATTTACCTTGACAAATATGTTCATAAAACAATCACCATCATACAAGTCATTCAATCCATTTAGCACAGAAAAGACTTTCAAACACATACTATTGTTTCTTGTGAAGTTTGAAAACAAGATTCTACTTGAATTCCAATAGTTCTTAGGATAGAGTGGAGAGTGGATCCTTCTTGGTAAACTTGATGTGCTATAAACCTATCAAATGCACATTATATCCATTTAAGCACAAGAGAACCATTTTGACAATCACACATGTACAAATTTGCAAAGATCCTCTTGATATATAAAAATAAAAAAAAATAAAAAACATAAACTTCAATATACAAACTCATTGGTCATGAAAATTTGCAGAGTAAAAATAGACATGACAAAGAAGCATCCTGCAAAATTTCACTTCATTTGAGGTCCATTTGAGTAGGTTTAAAAATAAGCCAATTCGGCCAACTGTCAGGAAAAAGTCCAGCAGCAGACCTGATTTGGTAAAATTCATTAAAATTTCGTCTTTCAGCCTTTTCCCATGAAAGTTTGACCACAGCATGTTCAAAGTGTCTAGTTTCAATACCCAAAATTTCAGCTTTAAACAACAAGTACTCTAAGAGATATTCCGCTCGCAATCAGAGGTGTTCAGACAACCAAAACAGAATTTTCAGCCAAGCATTTCATCAAACAAATTGCATACACCTCACTAAAACACATTTGAACAGAGCAAAAATGAACCAAAACTCCTCCAAATCATGTCTTAAATCAGATCAAAGCAAGAGAAACACACACTCAATTCAACAATAACTCACACTAACCAACTAAAAATATGTCTATCTACAAAGAATTCATCTCTAACCAGCGCATAAACAAAAAGCCCATGAAAACCTCATCAAAAAACATGAAACCACAATTCTAATACAAGGAAAAACACCTTACCTTAGCTGGTGTACAAGTTGGCCTCTCAAATTTGGGTTCAAACTTCAAATTTGTCAAGTGAAATCAAGGTTTTCTAGGAGGTTTCTCTTAGGTCCGGGTTTTGTCCATACTCAATGATCATATATTTATCTACCACTTAGAAAATGAGAAGGTGCTTCTGTAGTACATGTAAAGAAACGAATAGAGAACACTAGCGTAGCACCTGAATTCATAAATGGATTATTTTCTCTATCAAGAATTTTTCGCTGATGAAGGGAAAAACTAGCGTAGCACCTGAATTCTTATGAAGGGAAACGTGTACGGCAACGTCGGCGCGAACCTCTTCCTTTCGGTCGGAAATCCGAATCAGACGAGGAGATTGAAACGAAAAGGAAACGCAGAGATTTGGAGGAAGGAAGTAAAGGAATCGCGAAGGAGAGGAGTGGCCGCCTGAGGAGATCCGGTGGAGCTTGATACGAACGAACTCGTCGAGGGAGTAGGGAGCTAGGGCTTTCTCTCTCTCAATCGGGGAGATTTTGGGAAAAAAATGGTTAGGGCTGAATGGAAAGGCCTTTCCTTTGGCTGAACAAGTGAATCACGATTCACTCAAATTGAGTGAATGAGCTCTCCGCTCTCCGTAGGAAAGCTCATTCTGAAGGTAAAAATGGAACCAAATAAGGGAATTAGATGGAATAGCCTTTCTTTTCCGTTATATTCCTTTCAACCAAACACACCCTTAAGGTTTGTTTAGTTACATTTTTGAGTTAAGTCCGTTTAATTCGTTAATTTAAATTTTTAATTTGAGTTAAGATGTGATTTTATGTGAGAGTTTTTTACTGTAGTAAAAATATTAGATATGATTGTTTCTGAGAATTTTTTACTGTAGCAAAACTCAAATTAGTGAAATGAACGGAACCGATGATTTGAGTATAGATCTTGAGTTGAATTTAAGTTATAACTTGAGTTGAAGCTGTAATTTGAGTTTGTGTTTGGTTGTGTACGTTTAAGTTATGATTTGAGATGAGAATCTTTTTGAGTTTGTGTTTAGGTGAGTCAAAACTTGAGTTTGTATTTAGATAATATTTTAATAAAAACTCAAAGATGATGAAAAATTTTAATAGGTATATGGATGAGGTTTTATTCGTCTCTTCATTGTGAATGCATAAAAAAGAATCATCTCAATCAGAATTAAAGCAAAAAAGTTATAATGTTTTTAAGAATAGAAAAATTAATGTTCATTAACTTGAGTTTGAGTTTAAGAACTTAAATAGAAGAAGAAACATAAACTCAGATTTTAATCCCAAACTCAAGTTAAAATTCAAATTAAAACTCAAATTCAGACTTAAATTTTTACAAAAGAACATGAATTTAAATAAAATTATAATTTGAGTTCAAACGTTTTTAAATTTAGGTGCAAATGAACAAATCTTTAGCGTTTCAAAAACAATGTGTCCCTTCTCAACCGGGGTTTGTCGAGATCCCACCATCTGCTGCCGCCACTATCGCCATCGGTAGGCCACATCCACCCCCCACCGCCTCAGGGCCACCTCTATGCCCCTCCGCCACACGCATATCATGCTCCGCCGCTGCAGGGACACCTCCACGTCCCACTGCCGCCGAAAAATAGTGCCCCACCTTTGCATAGCCACTTCCATGCCCCGCCGCCAATAGGTTATCAAGGTCCGCCACTACACGGCCACCTTCACGCCCTTCGGCTGCAGGAATATCAAGGTCCGGTGCCACACGGCCACCTTCACGCCCCGCGGACGCCGGAATATCAAGCTCCGGCACCACACGACCACCTTCACGCCCCACGCCCGTCGAAATATCAAGTTCGGCCACCACACCGCCACCTTCACACCCCGTGGCAGTCGCACACGCCGCCACTGTCGGAATATCACGCACCTCCTCTTCACGGCCACCTCCACGCCCCGCCACCGCCGGGATATCACCATCCACCACTGCTGGGCTATCACGCTCCCCAACAATAAGGCCACCTCTATACGCCACTGCCACCAGCCTATCACGCTTCGCTGTCGACAGGTTATCGCGCCCCTCTTCAGCATGGCCACGTCTACGCCCCGCCACCGCCGGGATATCACGCTCCAACGCCTCTGCATTATCACGCCCTCCCCGCTAGGCAGCCTTGCCCTACTGCCGGCCCAGCCACCGAGTGAAAATATTCTGGCCCAACATCATGTTGTGTTTTAGCTTGTTTGTGGGAAGTCCCACATTGTTTTTTTATGAATGGGGTTTGGACTTTTGGCTTCTATAAATAAGCTCTTTCCCCCCCTTTGTTTAGTATCTAAAAATCCTCTCTTCTTACTCAACTTTAAGGAGGTCCTTTAACAATGATATCCTAGTAGTGGGTCATAAGTACTCCAAAATTGTAATTGTTCTTTGAGATTAGTGAAGTGGTCTACTACGGTAGTGTCCCGAGGACGTAGGCAATTTGTCGAACCTCGCTAAATTATGGTGTGTTCTTTCTTTTATTCTTGCTTTAGTAATTTTGCATTATGGTATTTTTTTTGGAATTGTTAGTATTTAGTAACTATCTGTTAGGAATTTACATTTCCTAATAATAGTTGTGGGTCACATATTTATAACAATTATATTAACGATATTTAATTAATTAAGCTAATTAAGTGGTCTAATTGTGGAGAGCTTAGTCTCCTAATTGGGTATGGACTAAATAGGTAGATACCCAATATTAACACAATTAGGTATAATGGGAGCCTAATAGGACAATATATAAAGAAACTTAGGTAATGGTCCCCAATACGTCAAATCATTCGACTGTTTCCTTCTTTCCTATCTAGAGAGAGAATACTCATTCAAGAATCTAGTGATTTGACTGAGAAAGACAATAACTCGACATGTTCGTTGTCTTAGAGATTACTACTAGAGATTAAGGTTGCACCAATAAAGACATGTATTTATTTTAATCTATTTTTTTAATAATTTAATGTGATGATTCCTAAAATATGAAATAAAGATTAAAGACCAATGATGATGATGATGAGGGTGATGAAGAAGAGGATGTGGATTTTGATGATGAAACTGAAGAAAATCAAGAAGAAGAAGAAGACGATGGTGATGATGATGATAATGGGTGGTGAAGAAAGTGATGAAGAAGAAGATGTGGGTTTTGATGATGAAGTTGAAGAAATGCAAGAAGAAAATCAAGAAGGAGAAGAACCTGAGTCAGATATAACTTCTGACAACGAAATTCAATGCTGATATGGATTTACAAATGATTTTGATGATGTGACGAGATAAATTTTATTTTAACATTAAAAATCCCTCAACTTTTCGGGCTTTGTTTTGTTTTTTTTGTTTTTGTTTTTTTTTGTCTTTTTGGTTTTGTTTATGTCTCTGTTGATGATGTTTTTACGTAATCTACCTGCAATTTTCTTCAATATCATGTTGGACTCTTTCGTGTTTGTGAGTGTCTTTTTCTTTTTAAGTTTTTTTTGCTTTTTTTTTTGTTTTTTCTTTATTTGCAGAAGGTCATATATTTCGGCTTTGAAACACTACTATGTTTTAGTACTTGTGATTCCCATGAATTGCATTTGTTTGATACTGATGTTTGATTGTCCTTATAACATGTTCGGATGCTGTTCATAGCCGTATTTTACTACTATGTTTTAGTACTAGTGATTCCCATGAATTACATTTTGGGAAGTGGATGTTTACTGATCTTCAAATGTCCTTATAACATGTGTAGTATTTCTTCTTATGTGACAGGATATATACACGTGCAGTGAGGATGGTTGTCCTTCAGTTAGGCTTGTCACTTTATTCCATATTGGTGATAGAGATGGAACTTTTGAGCAGTTTTTGGGTGTGCATGTGCCCCCATGAATCTCCTAAAGCAAGCTGAAGATGCAATACATACCATGGTCCGATGCAAAGTTTGTCAAATTGGTCCATTATGAATAGAATGCAAGCTATCCTTAATTCTTTTTAATTGATTTGTTCGTAACTACTATTGGCCTATATATGTTGAGACTAAAGAAGGTTTTCAATACTAATTCATTTGTTTTGTAACTACTATTGGATCGCCATACAACACTATTCTTTTTCAAAACATTGTAGAATACATTAGCCGAGTTTATTTTCAGTTTATCAAATTGTATAACTAGGCAGCCATGTCTCTTTTCTTGGCGCTATTCAACGTTTGTTCATGTTTATTTCACATTTATGGGGTTCAATATGATTTAGAGACACTTGCTCCGAACCCTTGGCATTTTATTAACAATCTTAAGAAGCATGTTGCGTCCCTGGAGTGTGACCTTCATAATGTGAGGCAATTGCGTGACGCTTGGTAATCCGAGTACCATATTCTTTGTCATCAAAATGATGACATGGCTCAAGAAATGGAGAACATGAATGCTCAACTACAGTTACTTAATACTGATTTATTCCGTGCCCATGCTGGATTTTCAAGGAGGGAGGCGGATGCTGATGGCGTTATGTGCTCAATATGAAAGAAACATAGAATCCTTGAGAGCAGAATTCCAAAGGTGGTTTTGCTGCTACTTGGATGGGAGACATTCCTTGCCTCTCTGAGCCCCCATGATGATGTGCCTTTAACGTTTACTAGATGTCTCCTGGAACTTCGTTGGGCGGAGCTCGCGCGGGATCTTCGACTCAGAAGTACAGTTTTTTTTAATAGTCTTTCTTATTGTTGTTGTTGTTGTCGTTTTTGCTTTTCCTTTTGCTAAGTTGTTGCTGCTCTCTTTTTTTTTTTTAAAGTCCTGTTCTTGTATTTTCTGCACCTTAGTTGGGGAGACACGTCATATCTTCTTAAGTATCATCATGCGTTCTTTTTTTTTTTCCTTAGCCTTCCCCGTGGGTTCGTCCCCGTTTCCCTTTGTGAGAGCATGGGACGAAACGTTTCGTCCTTTTTCCCTTTTTTTTTTTTTTTTCTTTTTACATTAACCTTTTTCTTCCTTTCCTTTCTTTTGGGCCCGTTCTTTTCTTTACTATTTGCTTTTAGGCCCTCCTTTTTCATTGTTGCGCATTTAATCCTCAATTTTTATTTTTCCTCTCACCCTTATTTAATCTTATCATCATTTACTCCCTATATTTTATTTTATTTAATCTTGTTTTCATTTTAGTCCCTTTTACACCCTTTTTTTCCAACTCTTTTTCATTTTTTTTTGTGCTTCTCTTTCTTTCATTTGTTTTTTTTTTGTCCCCCTTCTTCCTTTACCTGCTTCTCCCTTTCTTTTTTTGCCTTTTCCCCTTCCTTTCTTTTGGGCCCCTTTTTCTTTTCTATTTGCTTTTATGTCTCTATTTTTCCTTCTCGTCTTTTAATCCCCAATTTTTATTTTTCCTCTCACCCTTATTTCATCTTATTATCATTTTACTCCCTACATTTTATTTACTTAATCTTGTTTTCATTTTAGTCCCTTTTACACCCATTTTTTCCAACTCTTTTTTTCGCTTCTCTTTCTTTCATTTGTTGTTTTTTTGTCCCCTTTCCTTCTTAACTTGTTTTTCTAGTAATTTATTTTTATTTTGTTTTTCATCCTTACTTAATCTTATCATTTTAGTCCCTCATTTTTTTCACTTTTATTTTTTGTCGGGTCTATTGGCCTGATCCTTCCGCTACCACCACAAACCCCAAAAATATTTCATAATTAAAGTTCTACCACACATGTCGCATCACGAATGAATAGAATTCGGGTCACCATACTCTAACAGATTCTTTATCCCTTATATTTTTTCCTCACTCTTTATTTAATCATATAATATTTTTTTACAACAATACATTCTTATTTTTTACATTTTTTTCTTTCGCTTTTGTTCCTGTGTTTCACTTCCTTTCTTACTTGCTTCTTTAATCCATAATTTTTGCTTTTTCTCTTACCCCAATTGAATCTTATTAATTTGTTAATCACTTTCTTACTTGCTTCTTTAATCCATAATTTTTGCTTTTTCTCTTACCCCAATTGAATCTTATGAATATTTTAATCACGCATTTTTGTTTTTGTTTTTGTTTTATTTTGCTTTTCTTTCTTTCAAGGTTTTTTTAGGTCCTCCTTCCTTTTTCTTCTTCTTTAACCTCCCGTTTCCTTTTTTTTTTTCCCTCTCACCTTATTTAATCTTATTATTCTCTTTAATCTTTTTTTTTTATTCTTTTTTATTTCAAATATTATTCTCATAAAAAATTTTCCCTAATAGTCTTGGTTGAATAATTTTTTATGTTTGAAAAATAAAAATAATAACACAATAATTAAAAGGGAGAATGAGAAAAATAGACCAACTTAAGATATGAATAAAAATCAATAGGCCAGGGTTTAAAAATAGTTATTAAATAGGCCATTTAAGTGTAAATCAAGATTTAGACCTGCTTAAAATATCAAATTACCCCTATTAAAAATTTATGTTCTTTCTCTCCTAAAACATTCAATTATTCACTTTTTAACCCCTTAACTTTTTTAAAAAAATTATATTTTGACTCCTTATTTTTTAAAAAAAATTATATTTTCACCCCTTAATTTTTAAAAATTTATATTTTGACCCCTTAAGTTTTGAAAAATTACACTTTGACATGATTTTTTAAAAAAATTTACATTTATGCCCTAGTAAATGGATCATTTACCTAGTAAATGAATCATTTACCATGGGTGTTTTTGCAAATGGATCATTTACATTTACTTGGTAAATGAGGTAAATGAATCATTTACCAGGGTTTTGCAATGTTTTTTAAAATTTTGCATTTATGCCCTGGTAAATGGATCATTTCATTTACCTAGTAAATGAGGTAATTGAATCATTTTCCAGAGATGTTATTACAATTTTTTTTTAATTTTGTATTTATGCCTATGGTAAATGGATCATTTACCAAGGGTGTTTTAACAAATAGATCAGTTACATTTACCAAGTAAATGAATCATTTACTAGGGGTGTTTTTGCAATTTTTAAATTTTTTTACATTTATGCCCCTGGTAAATGGATTATTTACCTAGTAAATGGGTTATTTACTAAAGGTGTTTTTGCAAATTTTTTTAAAATTTGGGTGAAAATGTAATTTTTTTTAAAAAATAATGGGTAAAATTATAAATTTTTAGAAAATTAAGGGATCAAATTGTAATTTTTTAAAAGTTGAGGGCTGAATTTATAATTTTAAAAACTGAGGGGTTAAATTTTAATTTTTGAATTTTGAGGAGAAAGGCCGCTGGATTTTGAAAGAAAACAAATAGGTAAAATAAAAATCTTCCAATGAAGAATAAAATGGGAAAACAAAATAGTTGAGGCCTATTAATTTCCAACATTTGCTTGTCGTAGGTTCTTGCTTTGTTTTCCTTTGACTGTTGTGAGCACAAGACAACATGATCATGGTTGTTTTGTGAAACTGCCTCTTAGAGGCTCAACTCTGGAAAAAGCCTAAAATAGACAACCCCGAAAGCATAATTTATCCACATTTAATATTTTGGTTAATTAGCCTATGATTATTTGCGTCAATTCCCATTTTTATTAGCTTCTTGCGGATTCGAGAATTCCAATAGTTCTTCACTTCGTTATGTAACCTTCCTGGTAAACCTTCCAGCTATTAGTGACCACCTACAAGCTCACAACACAATCACTATAAGCAAATTAAACCTTCTTGGCCCTTCTACTTTTTCTGCTAATTAGAAAATCAATAGTAAGTATTGTAGATAATTCAAACTTTAGGTACACATGAATGATATACATAAAAAAAAAAGGAAGTCGCTATTATTATTTATTTTTCCAAGAATTTTATTGTTTTAGTACTTGTAATAAGGAGTATATATATATATACTCTATATTATATAGGAAAAGATGTGATATTTAATATTGCATTATATAGAATATTATTCTGATCTATTACCATCAGCAGTTAATAAAATCCTTTTCTTTTTCCCTTTTGAATTAGAGCGATATGTTAAAATTAGTAACTCTTACTATACGGTTACAATATTTTTGTGATTTTTTTAACACGTCTAGTGAATTGCTTTGTGTTATGCTACACCATGTAGGAATTATACATTTTTATAGTAAATATAAAAAAATAAGTAATAAATAAATAATAGAAACATGCATATCAAATTAATATACTTGATGGTGTATTTCTAACAATTGTATACATATAATATAGCGGCTATTACGTACCGATTGCCAGGGAGGGCGTGAAGCTTGGCCAAAGTTGCCGCGTTTGATGTCTGGCCTCAGATAGTTAATCCATCTTAGCCTGCATCTTTTCCTACGTCGGTGCAAATCTACATAATAGCATATACCATATATATGTACGCGAACACATGAAATTATAAGTTATTGTTAAAAACAGAAAGAATATCATAAAGAATGAGATAATAAAGGTTAATTATATGCTATATATTGCAATGGCAGAAAGGATACACATACACACACGCACACATATACGAACCTGCAGCCTTGGGTAAAGAACGCCAAGAGCCCTTGACCGTGAGTTTTGATATAATCAAGCAACTTTTGATCTTCCTGCTTCGACCAAGCTCCCTTCTTAGTACCCTCTTTATCACAGCAAGGTTTTCTCATTGTTAATCTTTTCTGTTCATAATAAAGAGCTCATGAGATCATGAAATATATATATATATATATATATATATATTGTCACTACAAGAAAAAGGGATTTTTGCGATGACAAAAAGTCGTCACAAAAACTCTAATGTCGTCACAAATAGTATTTTTTACGACGACATGTCGTCGCAGATATGTCGCCGCAAAAAAATAGTCGCAAATACTTTATTTGCGACGACACAGTGTCGTCGCAAATACATTTGCGACGACATTTTTCTTTTGCGACGACAGTCGTCGCAAATACGCCATTGGTTAATTTGTCGTGATATAATATTTTTTGCGACGAGAATTTCAAAAAGTCGTTGCAAATAATTCAAATTTTTTTGCGACGACAAGTATAAAAATGTCGTCGCAAAAACTTAAATAATTTTTTTTT